GGGAGAGAGCAGTAGGATGTGGCCCCCATTTCTCCAGCTCACTACTTAATCATTGGCTTCTGCCTGATTCTGCATCCTCCAGGGGTGACATCTCTCTCAAGGATACCTAGCAGACGACACCCTGAACAGCAAATAGGTGAGGTAACATCTGGTTTGTGAATCCTGCCAAGCAGCCAAACATTTGTTCATGTCAGGACTTTAGGCAATCAAGTGGATGGATGCCTGCCCACAGAAAACTGAGTATGTTACCAGGACAAAGAGCTACACTAGTGAACATCAAACATCTGTACAGATGGGTGGGAGGCATATGAACACAGTACTGTCTCAGGCACCAGGCCATCTCTTCCTCCTGGTGTCTTCAGCCCTCGATGTCAAACCCTAGGGTATATCTACTACCAACCTAAAAAGCAAATTTATCATGACAAGCAGAATGATCCAGGAACATCCAGTCCCTGCTTTACCTCAGATTAAAGAGGCAAGCTGCTTGTTAACAGCAGTAACCTGATGCACTTTTAATGCCAACTCTTGCCCAAAACTAGGAGTCTTCTTACGTATTGCAAATCCAAAAGTGAGGAAGAGAAGTGAAGGGATAGGGTGGGGTAAAAGAGGAGTCTAATACTTCATCTCCATATCCTTATCCTCTAAAGGTGCAAAGACACTCAGTGCTGTTGTTTAGGGAGTCAAATTTTGAGATGGTAAGTAGTGGCAAGCTTAATGTTCAAGAGCAAACCTATATAATTTATATCTATTAAGCCAAAAAGCAAGATATTAAATAGGATCTTCACAGTCTGGACAGAGTTAGAATAATCAATACAAGTGGGTTCCTGAATTAGCTTTACATAGAGCACAACCTGAATTGTAAGATAAGTTCGGTTACTCTTCATCTTTCTGGTTGAGCAGAGCATGGTTCACCAAAGGGCCACCCACCCTCCCTCTCCACCTTTGGCAAAGGCATCAGGCCATCCCTACAGCGCTGTTTCCAGGTTTCCCTGTAGAGACTTCATTAAAGAGAATAGCATTTGTGTTCAATATCATTCAACATCAATGTCAGGATTAAAGCACTGTCTGCAAGTGCTCATCCATTGCATTTGCAAGTGGCTTCCGGCCCCCTCCAGGCAGCAGAATGAGAGGGAAGCCCCACTGAGCCCCCTCCTCTGTTCTACTGACCATGAATGTTAAGGTGTGCAAAACCGAGGGTTTGTGAAAAGATATGTTGAACAGCTTTACTGGAAGGACAGATTTCCTTCACAGACTGTTTCATGTGCAGACCAAGGAGAGCAGAGGGCCTGGCTGCTGCAAGGCTGATGGAGGAGTGCAAGTAACTGGGGGCCCTGGGGAAAGGGATCTGGTTTGGAGCTCACAGTCATGACTACAATTACATCTAGCAGGACTCAAACTCCTAATTCTCTCTTTTCACTGCTAAAACTCTTGAGAAAATGCTCCTTAAAAAACAATCTGATGATTTTATGCTGGCTTGGAAACATAAAACCCCAGCACCCAAAATAACCTTGGTGTATATGTAACTTTTTATTGATCTGATATGAATTCCACCCTCTTTTCCACCCAAGATGAAACACTCATTATAGAATTACGTCCACTGTGTGGTCAGCTTGGCTTTTCCCATGTGGTTGGTATAAGGTACTCAACAAAATGATGGATCTGTTAACACAAGACAATTTGATATCAGAACAGATAGTGCTGCAGCACAGCTCCTTGCCGGTGCAAACCGTTACCTGAAGTTTTCCCTGACCATGTTGTCTGTGTGCTGACACCAACGAATCTTGCTGATTGAGTCGAGTCCTCTTTCCTGGAGGTATCTTCTTATTCTGCAGCACTACTTCCCTTTCTGAGCTACATGCAGAGCTCCTGCTGAAGTCCCGCTTGCCCTCGCTCATGATCATGAGAGACTCTTTTCTGTGGAACGTGCCCTGGTGGCAGCAGAGGTGGTATATTGCGGAAGCATTACCAACATGGAATTATTTCTTGTCATGGGGGGAAGGACACAGTCTGTTATTTTTATCTTTATAAACCCATCTGGACATCTTCAGCTCACCAGATTTTTTTTCTGATTAAGGCAGCCAGACTCTAACAAACTCTTGCTGGCTTATGTCTTTCACTGTGATGCAGAGTATCTAAATTTCAAGTGGTCAGAGAAGAGCACGAGCCTTCCCCTTTCGCATTCCTACAGCAGTGAACCTGGGCTGATTTCTGTGCATGCAGAAAGTCACTGAAAGCCAGAGGGAATTCTGTACTTGAAAGTGTTTCAGCCATGAAATGCAGCAAGCACCAGCAGCACCTCTCTGTGAGCTTCAAAGGAATATGACACTCTTTGGGTATTCTGAATCTTACCAGGTATTTCATTGGTACCTCTTTTTGCCTAGGTGGCCATACTATAGTCTCTGTACAATTGGGTGTGCACATATATATGTGAAAAAAAGAACATTTCAAAACAAAAATAAATCTACTTTTTGACCAAGCTGGTGAAAGTCTCAGAATGGGTGAAAAATTATGTGATTTCTTTAATATTTCAGTGTAATCACTACACAAGATGTAGAAACAGCTGAAGCCGGTATTCAAATATGTGGCTTTGTATTACAAAAGGATACTGAAGCACTGCTGGATTTATTTGTGGTTTAGTTGCAAAAATTTACTCCTAGATTTCAAACTCAGGCTTTGGAGCTATATGGAAAGCATAACAAAGCTATCATACAGTGCTTTCTTATGGTGCTTGTTCTAAAGGCACTGTTAGAGAAATAAGTCAGAATGCTCCTGATACATAAAAAGCTGTACTGGGTATAAACACAAAGTAAAATAGCTTATAAGTCATAGCAAAAAATTTTGAAAAGCCCTAAATTGTAAACAAGACAGGAAGAATGAACAGATAATAATAATTCAGATAAGATTTGTGGGTTTTAATGAGTTGTGACTTTTGCATAATCTCCAACAGCTGACGTATATCCTGCCAAGGAATAGACAAGAAATGATACTTTGACTATAGATACTCAAAGGTGTCTTCAGAAGGTGGTTATGCATGTAACAATTTAATTTATCAAATCACAAGAGCATATAGAGCACAATTAAAATGGGATACTCATTGCTAAAACAAAGTTTAAAATAAAAATGGACTTTAAAATGGAGACACTAAATCAATGGATGTCCAAGTCTGTTAAACACTCGTATAAAGGTAGCTTATGAGTAGCAAGTACTTAATTTACTGCTGTCCAGATGCTCATTTTGGCAGAGATGGTCCTTCCACATGCCCAAATTTGAAGACATTTCTTAAACTGTTGATGACCATCAGAAACAACTGCTGGGATAGCCCTTGGCCTGGTCCATAGGAATGCTTTTAAGGTCTTGCCACTACAGCTGAGCAGAAAAGCAGTCAGTCCTTATTTCTCACAATTCAAAGTAGAAGAACAAAGGAGGAACGAAGTGGAGAAACAAAGTTCTTCCTCTTTGGTGCCTTCTTAAGGTCTCTGCACATAGATGCAACAGAACCTTTGGACACCCTCTACTCCTGCCTCATACTGTGCCCGGTCCCCATGCAGGTGCACAGGCGAGGTGTTCATTACCATTTAAAAAGACCTGTCACCTACTTATAGGAGGGGAGTCTAACAAACTCCGGCTGGTTTTTGTCTTTGCTGTGTGTACATCCTAATTCCGGGATGAAGTATTTCACTGAGGAGTCAGAGGACGCATTATCCCTCTTTTATCAGTACACAACCCCAGTCATAATGTATGCCCACAGGAAGAAACGTTTTGCCATGCAGGGAATGACTCAGACTAGGTCAAAGCAGCGATACAAGGAGAGTGGAGAAAAGTGAACAGTAACTGCAGCTTATAAAAGGTGGCATTTATCTTAGCAGAGTGACAGCTGCTTACTGTGAAGTTACAAGGGGGTATTGTGATTTTCTGACTCTGAAGCCCACCCCTTAGGAACCACTGATCTGGAATATGAAAAGACTACACATGCTGAAAAAGTCTTTTTTAATGAGACAGGGTCAGATTGTGATGAAGCGCACTCACATTGAGTGGCATTTTCCTTCTCTTTATGGCCCCATTAACATTGACACTATCATTATCAGTAAAATAAAGCTGAATACAGTGCAAATGCAGTTGCACTCCTGTTGGGTACTGATAATTGATAATTAATAGATTTCAACAGATTCAATTAGATTCTAATTTCTTTTTTTTTTTTTTTTTGAATGACCATCTCTACAGGGAAGTAACAACAGTATGGAGTTCCCCTGGTAGGATTCTTATCATGATCGGGTTATCTGACCGATTATACGTCCCCATGCCATAGTGTTAGGGCTCAGTAGTGTGAGCTGCAGCAAATATCAGGCATGAAGTTGACTCTCTGTTCGTAAGATTAAACAATGACTAAGCTTAAAAAAAGCATAAACAGTAGTGTAATAAGGCTGTCATTACAGTATAACTAAAATAAAATGAAACTGTTATAAAAATTAACTACATTTTATTATAGCAAAGCGAAATGCAATCAGAAAACTGCTTCCTTTCAGTTCCACTTGCCTGCATACAGTATGCTACAAAAAGTCCTGGGCTTAATCACCTCTTAGCTATATCATGACTCTTTCCTGATGCAAAACACAGCAATGCACCAAATCAGCTAGAGACACCAGAAATTATTAAACATGCATAGTCTTAGAGTCTGGCCAGTCTTCCTTAGTCTTTGTATATTTTCTGAGCCATGAAAAAAAAAGTAAATAAAATTTATAGAAGTTGTACAACAGCAGATTAACCATTTGATTTGTAGCAGCAGATTAACCATTTGATATGTTGTGCCTTGTAATATCTGTTGGGCTGTTCTGGGGAAAGGTGCCCGAAGAGTGTAGAGGAGCACGTGAAGCTCTAACCCACATTGCACAAGAGCTGCATCCCACATCTGCCACAGAGGACACAGGTTCATAACCTGCTGGAAGCAGCCTGGCTGCAACTCATTTATGGAGAAAGTGCTCTGGTCTTCCCTTGTTCTGGCCATGACTGTGTTTTCAGAGGTGCCTCTCAGTGGAGGAATGAGCTGGATTCCTCAGAGGGCATGATGTGCCATAAACTGCATGACACCCTTGGTCTGGCAGGAAACTCATTGGCCCACAGAAAGTCTCTGGAGGAAAGAGGGCTGAGGAGAATGAGTATGTGTAGTTTTATATCAAACAAGTAGCAACAGAGGTTGTACTGGGTGGGCTGTCCTGGATTGGCCTTGCTCAGCTTCATCTGGTGTTTTTCCCTGCAACTCGGTAATACGGCTTCACTCAGGTATCACTTGAATCACTTGACCAGACCTCACATTTTTCATTTATGCTTTTTAATCTCAGCACTCCTGAAACAGAGATGTCACAAGGTACTATTTGCAAGCTCATCAGCTAACCCGATTTTAAAAACTTGAATAGCTCATTAAACTAAACTCTCTGATTTACTATAGAAGACCAAAGAACCAAGGATACATTAAAAAATCAAGGAAGGAAAGAATAGAAATTGTGCAGAAAATGTATTTTTTTTTTAAGCAGTGAGAATGTTTGAGAAAAGCAGAGGTGTAAAGGGAGAAACTTGGAGCCAGAAGATCCAAACTTCCCCTTGATTCTAAACTTAGCTCAGCCACTGGCCCACCGTGCAGATGACTCAGTGCACTTCCTTGAACTTAAATCATTCCTCTACAAAACTTGTTAAAGAAAGACGTCAGTGTAAATTAGATGTTGTGTCTAAGTTTAGCTATGGCCAACACATAAATATCGGAACTTTAATGTGTTCTCATTTTTGTCTGCTTAAGAAATATGTGTATGTACATGCACATATGCATATATATACATAGCAAGGGAGAGAACGATTTCTTTGTGCTATTTTTGCAATTTTATTTACATATATTGTTATTTTTCTGGTGACATAAGAGCTCACAACTGATTAAAAGTTTAACCATTTTCAGAGCAGCCTGATTGCCACAACACCCAAGCACTCTTCATTCTCTCAAACTGTCAGGAAAGTTTCAATCCCATCCAAGCAGTGGGAGCTAAGAGAGTACACATTCAGTATATAACATACATGACGGCTGATTTCTTGTGACACTAATCTTCACTCCTGAGGGAAAGGCAGTCACTTATTCATAACTCTACCACTCAAAAGTAACCATTCTTCTCACCATGGAGATAAATGTCAAAACAGAGACCAGCCATAGGCTGAGTCTAATCTAATCTGTCCAAAATAAATATATATTTAGATTTGTTGTCAAATCTTGAATGGCAAACCCTTTAGCCTGGGCAGTCTGCCCTCTACATCTATAAATATGCATACCAAAATTGATATATGCTATCAGAGAAGCATATTAATCCTGCTAAAAGGGACAGAACGTGATGCTTACCAACCTTTCTGATGTGAGCAAAGAGTCAGAAGACAAAGCACGTGACTTTCAGAAACGTATAGCAGGGAGGAAAAAAATACATTATTTTTCTTTAAATCTTTCAACACCCACCTGAAATCAGCAGGCCCTTCACTCCCAAATGGCTGATCCAGCAAATGAGAAAAACAAGGTCCTACCTGGATGCCTGTGGAAGATGGCAAATTAGAGGGATTGACAAATTAGAGGGATGGGCAATCAACAACCAGATGAATTTCAACAAGGGAAAGTGCTGGATTCTGTACCTGCAATGGGGCAACCCTCGATGTACGTACAGACTGGGCTTAAGAACAATGCTGCAGAAAGGGACCTGGGGGTCCTAGTCAATGACAAGTTGCATATAAGTCAGTAGCGTGCCATGGCAGCCAGGAGGGCCAACAGTGTCCTGGGGTGGATCAGGCACAGCATTGCCAGCAAGTCAAAGGAGGTGATTGTCCTGCTCTTCTCTGCACTAGCACAGCCTCACCTAGAGTGCTGCATGCAGCTTTGGGTACTACAAGATAAAAATTACACTAAGCTATTAAAGAGTGTCCAAAAGAGGGCCATGAGGATGGTGAAGGGTCTGGAGGGGAGACCTTATAAGGAGTGGCTGAGGTCACTTGGTTTGTTCAGCCTGAAGAAGAGGAAATGGAGGAGAGACCTCCCTGTGGTCTTCAACATCGTCAAGAGGGGAAGGAGAGGGGCAAGTACCAATCTCTTCACTCTTGTAACAGGACTCAATGAAATGTCATGAAGCTGAGTCAGGGGAGATTTAGGCTAGATATCAAGAAACAGTTTTTCACCTGGAGAGTAGTTGACTATTGGAACAGGCTCCCCAGGGAAGTGGTCACGGCACTAAGCTTGCCTGACTTCAAGAGGCGTTTTGACAACACTCTCAGGCACATAGTTTGGATTTTTGGGGTGTCCTGCACAGGGCCAGGAGTTGGACTCAATGATCTTGATGGGCCCCTTCCAACTCAGTGTATTTTATGATTCTATGACATCCTGGTATTGAGACACTGGAGGACATCACAGAAGAACTAGAAGTGACTGTCATTTTTCTGTTCCACTCCTCTATTTCATACTGTCAAAAATCTCCATGACATTCTTTCTGAAGTAGAATGCCTGAAAATGACCTCAGAGCCTGAAGAGAAAGAGATCTTCTCTGTCATAAATAAATTATACTGTTTCAGAAATCAATACATCTATTTCTCCTAGATATTTCATTATTGAAGTATCAAAACAAACACTTGCATAAATGGTAAACACAGCTTGCCTTCACTGCTTTTAAACTGGCATATTTTTGGTGCTCAAATATCCCTGTTCAAAGCTAAATCCCATTTTTACATTTAGATAAATCTTATCAAAAGCCAATTAACTAATTATTTCAAAAGATGCATTAGGTTTAGCAGTTCAACCACATTACCTCTAATGCATCATGTACTACTTCTCTTCTGTGCATATTCCAGGTAAGTAACTGAGCCATGGTTTTAGCAAAAAGCACTTCCAAATGTCCCACACAGTTTAAGAATGAATGGGACCTCAGCTATGCCAGGATGGGATTGCCTCTAGGAACCCAAGAGCAAAAGAAGGAGATCTAGAGGCCTGCTACAAGTCACTTCAACTTGCTCTGTCCCAGGATTTGCACTTATAGCTGGGTCAAATCCTTCTTTGGAATTATTATACAAATCTGCATTGCAGCTGAATTGGGTCCATGTATCACAACACACAAATACGCAAGCAGCATTGCTGGAATGTGTCTACACTTTCTAAAGGTGGCAGAAATGGGTGCCAGGTAACAGCTGAGATAACAAAGCATGGTTGTTGTGCAGGAAAATAAAGGAATTATTCCCAGAATAGTAGCTCAATAAGGTGAAATATCTGAAAAAAAAAAAAAGGTTTTAACACAACATAACACAAAACACCACAAAATAGGTACCAAGAACCACTTGGTCACTTCCAGGCCATGGCTTCTGTGCATGCTAACTAATCATCTGGAAAAGAAGCTAGCTGTGGGAGTGGATTATGAGCAGATCATGATCTCACAGCAGGACAAAATGGCCAAGAGGGCAAATGCAACCCTTGTTAGCAATGAGCATCCCCTGACGAAGAAGAGAAAAGTTACTACTTTTTTTCATATCCTCAAGTGATCACTGCTACATACTGTAATCATTTCTAGTCTCAACAGTTTAGCAAGGATGTTAATAAATACAAATAGTTCAGAAATAGTGCCACCTGTGAAAACTCTTCCTCATGCTGAGCACTTAAAGATCAACCTTACTACCTCAAAGAAAGGTCATAGAGGAGAGTAAATCTCTGCCTAGGACTACCTACATGCAGAGGGAAATCCACAAGCATTAGAGATTCTTCAGCAGGTTACAAATCTCCTGGACTCAAAAATGAGACAAACTGAGACAAGGAACGGAGTGCTAAACTGCCACATTTGGAACAACTTATCCAGTAAATTTGCCATCCATGCAAGCTTTGCAATCAATACTGCTGTCATACAGAACAGCTCACTCAGAAATGAAATGCTAAATGAAGGACTCCATGAAATCCTATGCCCTGTATTATCTAAAAGAGAGTAGATGATCATAAGAGTCCCCTTGGGTCTTAAAAATCCACGAATGTAGTTCAGAAGACATGTACTTCTAGAGGCTAAGAATGAGGTCCTTACATTTTTCAGATACGTGCTTTCCCCTGAAGGTTTTTCTTGAAGAAAGGCTAAATTATTTATCCTATAAGGGGAGAGTAAGCTGCAAAAATATCAAGTAGCAAGCCCACAAAAGATCAAATTTCTTTCTGATTTTCTATTTTCCTTAACTCTAGGTGAAAACATATACAGACAATAGATGAAGTGTGTTTTGAAGAAGACTGAAAGGCTCCAAATGCATATGGAGAGGAGGTCAACAGCCTCATAAGCTCATCTTGTGAAAGGCAGATGCTGGCTACAGCTGGGTTAAAAACAGGGCTCTACAGAAACTGGCTTTTCTGGTTTTGGTGACCTATGTAGCTCTGTGACAGATATGGTGTTGTACCACATTTCCTAGGGTTGGAATATGGAGTAGTCTGTCTGCTCTGTTCAGCTTCCTTTAATAATTGACTGGACTTTATTATTTTGACTGAATGTGAGGAGGTTTATACAAGCCATGTCTTGTCTAGTCATTCTTGTTCCCTCAACTGGCTTTATCCATTTCTGCTGCTAGTCATATAGGAGCACACAGAACACCAGTAATCCCCACAAAACTCATGCCGTAATACTCAGTATTGCACAATTTCCAGGTGTATCATTTCAGGCGGCAGTTTAAATCAGTGGGAACAGAGCTGAGCTTCTTCATGAAGCTGTATTCGATTTGGTAAAGAGGAATTTGAGTAGAGTGAGGCTAGGACCATCTCTATGTGATTTACAGCAGAATTTGCATCTTCAACAAGTTCCAGGACTTCATGAAGACCTTATCTTTAAGGTGGACCGATCCTAATCTTCATTGTCAAGCTACCAGTACCAAGATGGTCTTTAGCTAGGATGTCTTAATCACATTTTCAATTTTGATAGACAGGAAATGGAAATGTAGTGTGTTTATATGTCTCAGCACTGCATAATTACTGAATAAACCTACAAGCAGTTTTTTGCTGTATGCTGTCCTTGGAAACAGTGGCTGGATTTTGTTATGCTATAAGTCTGGGAAATCGCTGTCCTCTCCCCCTCCCCCCAACAGGTATGTTTTGGGATTTTTTTTTCATTCTTCTCATCTGATCTGTATTTAATGAGCACTTTTATCTGACTTTGCAGTAATTCCTAACACGTACCACTGATGCCATCAGTTTTCTACATTCTCTGGTGTTGTCCAGTTAATCAGTAAAATACTGTTGTTGAAATAGCTTAGAAGGTGAATTCATGGCAGAGAGGATATGACCAGCTTGTTTCAAATTCTGGACTTAAGAGTTTTGAAAAATCAATTGCTAGGAAATTGTCATTTAATTCCTGTGCTTTGTTTTTTTAATTGTATGATCTTAGAAAGAAGTAGAGTTTACTTTAAAGTAAATTGCTGATACTTTACTTACTTGAGTAAAGTGCCGGAGCTACAACAAAAAATAATTAACATAAACAGCTATTGCTAAATTAAAGTGAAGATGAAAGTTTGAGTATCCTCACCTCCACTTTGTGCCGACAAACTACCCTGTGCTTTTTCGCTGTAGACACCTACTACACTGTAAAACCTAAGGAACTCTTTGTCGTGTTACAGTATAATTTTTTTAGGACAGCTCAGTGTTTATCTTTAATCCAAAGAAAGATGCTGCCGTTGTCCAAGCCGAGTGACGCTTGGAAGCACATTGTCGCATACAGAATGTTCATTAAAAGCGGATTAGGTGAAGATCTCATCAAACAGGCGGGATTCTGCTTAAAATAAACGGCTTCTAAGCACAGGAATTGTTAGAGGAATGGACCATAGGCGCCGACCAGTTTGGTTTGCATATTTTAGAGAGTATTATTGAGCTGGTGTGTGTGAAAATAGGCTCTTTACTTCAGCAGTTCTGTTTACTCGAACAGAGTAGTAACCATCGATAAAAATGTTAGAGGTCATTTGGTGATAAAATGTGGAGACTCAATAAAAAGATATCCCAGGCATGAAACACTGCAGCAGAACGCTGCTTAAAAATTAACTAATTTTAAAAAAATAAATTAAATGAAATGCAGCTTTCACTGTTAGGTTCTAGATTTCTCTCCCCCAAACATTAGACGAAATTGCATTGTTTACAAAAATTTATTAATACAAACTTTACACACTTTATATAACAGTTATCAAAGTCCTAGTTATAGATATCATGTGTGTAATAATACTTCGTTTAAGTTCTTTTTATATTCATTTGCACACAAAAGTTCTCCAAGACTAATATCTACCTACTATGACTGTATCTCAAATCTGCTCAAATTTTGGTAAGGCTGTTGGCGTTTCTAAAAAAAAAAAAAAAAAAAAAATCGTACAAAGGATAATAACCTAGGCGATCACTTCATAATGCTTGCGACTAGCCACTGAACTCTAACTGATAAGGTCATAAACAAAACGTCGAGAGCCCTATGTCATTATACCACAGCCGACACAAACACAGCGCACTCTGCCCATGGCCAAAGAACAGAAGGACGACTAAAACGCAAGCCGATGTGTTGCAGCATCGTAGGGCCACTAAATAGCCATCCGTGAACTCGTGGCGATTTACAAGGTGAAGAGAAGGCACGAAAGCTGCACACTGCGCCCCGCGTCCCTGTGCCCCGGGGGCCCGCCCCGGCAGGGCCGGCAGAGCGGTGCCGGCAGTGCGGGCAGCCCGGGCAGCCCGGACAGGCAGTGCCGGCAGCGCCTGCCCGCCCCGCCGGGTTCTGCCCTCCCTGCTCCGCTCCTCCCGGCGGCCCTTCCCGGCCTGGGAAGGAGGGTTTTACCCGCCAGGGGGTTTTGGTTTGTTTTTTTTTTCCGACGTCTTGGATGCGGGGCTCGTGTTGTGTCTTTGGAAAGACTCCTGTAAGGTTTGTGTGGTGAGCTGGAAGGAAACGGGTACCTACGTGTTCTCCTTCGTCCCCCGGCCCAGGCAGGGGACAGAACCAGCCCCCAGGTGGAAGGTAAGATAGGAGTCCGTACATAGAGAGATGAGGTGAAAATGGTTTATCTCGTTAGAAACCGGACCACAGGTGAACACTACACATTCTTTTATGACAAAAGTTTGTTTTATGAAATAAATTTTACTAAGCAATAAGCCAGAATGTAGAAAAATACATTTTACCTCCAAACTCAATAAACAAGGAACAAAAACTTTCGTAGTAGTGCATAATTCTTTAGTGGTAGCTACAACAGGGGTTCCTAAACTTGTACAATAAGAGCTTGCATAAAACAGAACAAAGGAGTGAGAGAGCGTTCACAATCTTTTTTTTTTTTTCCAAAAAGAACATAACCCAAAAAGGTGACTCAGGTGGGTTA